TCCCCCCTTTATTTTTTACCAAAACAACATCTATCCCCAGTTCTTTCTTCTTTCTCTATATCAGAGCACTGCGCAATTTTAAATTATGGATGCATATGAAATATAGGTAAAATTAAAAACAAATTAAAATGTTAAGATAATTAAGTTGTTGTTTATCAGAGGCAGGCTACTTCAATAGCATTATCTCAGCTATTTGCTAAATATTCTTTTATACATATGCTGGAGCATAAATTGTGTACACACAATAACTGCTGGATATCTCTGTGGTTTAAGTATCTTGGCTGTCAGAGGTTGGGAGTTTGATTCCCCACTGTGCCTTCTTGACAGGGGCTATACTTCCCTTCCAGCTCTGCTGTTCCAAGATGATGATGATTCTAAGTGCTGCATTGATTGAATTTCTCTACTGTCCCAGAAAAATTGTCCTGGTATCCAAGTAGCCCTATTTTACTTGATTATTCTCGATCTTCTTGTGTCAGTTCAAAGTATGTTAAGTGACTTCCAGATGGACCAGCCAGAGTCTTGTGGGAGACACTCTTTGACATTCATCCATTCTGCAAGGTGTGGTTGTTTTCATTCTTAGGTTTACCTAGCCAGAAGCATTATCCTGTATAAGCATATTTTGATTCTTACTCACGCCCCCCCACTACAACCACCAGTCCAATGAGTTATGGTGAACAGTCCATGTGTTGTTTTTATTCAGGGGTTTTTGGGAGAGAAGAAGGCAGTAATTTCCTAGACAGGACAAAGGAATTTGTACCCAGAGAAAGGGCTACAGCTCCCACAGAGCTAGAATTCGAATACGGCAGGAGTATATCACCTTTGGAATAAGATGTGAAAATTAAGGTCTGTGAGTCATATTCAGAGTTGGCATGCAAGCTGTGAGAGGATGGCAGCACACTGAGAAAGCAATTGACAGAGATGTATTGAAGCCTGCCGATTGGCCTGCTGATTTCTAGAAAGAAAGGTGCTGTCATTCACACCCTCTGCTGCAGCTTCTGCACTAGACTCTTGATCCTGTGAACTAAGGGTTCATGAATATTCTGGACTCCAACTCTTTCCTAAGCTAATTCTTCCACCTGAACCCTTTCCAACTCACTGGCCATTGTCTGTCAAGGTGAGGGAGACAAAGATTAACACATCAAATCAGTGCACACACTGTGCCAGTGGATACATTTCAGTGTTGTGAAATGGGATAACCATCCAACAGTGCCATTAGAAGAGCGCTGGGACAGTATGCCACAAGGCCAAACTAGACGTGATGTGAGAGGAAGGATTCAATCTGGGTCCACTGGTTTAAAACAGGAGCAGTGAATTCTGAACTTGACTGGAATATCAACAGTAGATGAGGCATGGATAGTCCCAAATATTTTGCTACTAAGGTCAGGGCAGTAATTTTCTCCCCACTCCCAAGCCCAAGATACATAGCATCCTGAAGCAACTATTCTGGTACAGGTGGCAGAAATTCTCTGAAGTATCTTTATCCATCTTCGCTGCAAAACTGCAAGAATAGTAAAATAAATGACCAACAGCATTGCTCCCCGTTCATGATAGATCAAGACCTCGGGGTGGTGGTGGATAGATTTAAAAAGAACTTTTCCTCCACATCAGTTTAAATTCCTGCTTTTCAACAGCTGTCAATCTTACAGGGGAAAAGTACAAAGGTAGCATCTGTATCTCTATTTTTCTTCTGTAAGGCTAATAATAGGTGTGAAAGAGTCATGACTTGCTGTTAGGTCAAATGCATTATTTGAGGAGATGGTAAAACTCCTTCCCAAGCATTGCTGCTCTGATCAAATTTGGAGTCCTCAGAACCCTCTTCCACAGATATGGATCTAGATTCCTTCTTAAAAGCCAATAAACTAACCAATCATGGAAAGGAACAGGATTGGGAGGAATTTGTGTAGCCAGAAATATATGTACCAGCCTCTGTTCCTGTGACTGGCATTGCTTGACATGGGTTCTGATCCCCATTCTACAATTTCACATGTTCCTCCTCAGGAGGGCCTACCCCATGGTTTGAACACTACTGCTGACTTAGCCCCATATGTGCAAGCAATGTGCAAATGTTGTTATCTGCCAAGAAATTGCTTTCAGCTGATGGTGAAGCTAATATTATTTTCAAGGTCTGCAAGATGTTCAAGGGGTGATCTCCCATTGCCACTCCTTGATTTACATGGCTAAGTGAGGATTTGAATTCAAGTCTCCTGAGTACCAATCTGACACTCATTCCACTGTGCCACACTAGCTCTAAGTTGCTCAACAGTGGTTTTGTTTTGTTTTGTTATTCAAGTTAAAATAGTTCAGAATAGATATGCCAAAGTTGCCGTAATAATTGCTCCAGCATTAGTATCTGATTGAAAGGGACTTAGGTGGTTTAGTGTGATTGGCATTTTGGACAAAGTGGGCACAGCCACAGCTCCTGAGCATTTAGCAGGAATTTGGCGACTCAAACTGCAGATTGTTGCACACAGAGAGTAGATTGTTTCTGGCAGTCACTTTCCTTCCACAACTGACAGCCCAGGAGACAGTCAATCTATTACAGCCTGCTTGGGATTAACCTCTCACTTAAGAGCATTTTGGAACTATATGACTGGTGTGAAATGGCCTTCTTTGGCGTTTTAAGCACAAGTCAATGAAATGTACTCCATTATTCCAGCAGATCACAGTCTGCAGATCTCCAGTCCCTGTACCCATTGCTCTCTTCAGTTTATTTCCCTCCAACTATTTCCACACATCCATGTTATGTTATGTTACGTTATGTTATGTTACTGGGAGAACAGGACCTCAATGTTACATGAGCTTAATGTTTGACTTGCAACTAACCCCTCAAAGTTAAATTTATTCACACTGCAATAAACAATGGCTAAAGTAAAATGTGAGTACAAAAAACCAATTGCATTTTATAACAGTTTAAATAGTTGCCATGCACCAGGAAACAATCTGAGAGTAGGGTAAATACTCAACAACATGAAAAAGACACTTCCTAAAGAAACAAAGAAGGGAAGTGGTGGCGCTGTGGGTTAAACCGCAGACGCCTCTGTGCTGCAAGGTCAGAAGACCAGCAGTCGTAAGATCGAATCCATGCAACAGAGTGAGCTCCCGTTGCTTGTCCCAGCTCCTGCCAACCTAGCAGTTCAAAAGCATGTAAATGTGAGTAGATTAATAGGTACCACCAAGGTGGGAAGGTAATGGCATTCCGTGTTTAGTTGCACTGGCCACGTGACCACGGAAACTGTCTATGGACAAATGCTGGCTTTATGGATTAGAGATGGGGATGAGCATGGCACCCTAGAGTCAGACGCGACTGGACTAAATGTCAATGGAAAAAAACAAACTTGCTACTGCCTTTTCTGGCAAGTCCAGTCCTAGTGGTTTATTTAAACAGATCATTGTATAGATAATCAAGACCAAATACAGAAGGCTTTGAGGTAAACAGACTTTTGGATTCATTGCCCTGAACCCTCAGAGGTTTTCCTAACTAGGGATTTTCAAACTGATGTTGTGTCTGCCAGTTCCTCTCAAGGTACCCATAACATCTATATCTCCTGCTGTCAGTCTTGGGATATGGCAAGGGGGTGAGCCTTGATCCTGCAAACACTCTCATATGTGCTTTCAGTGAGATGAAGGGGGATGTCTGAAGCACCTTTCCTCTCTCAGGGATTTCTGCTCTTTTTCTCTTATTGCCTCTTCTGTCAGGATGGAAACCTTGGAACATTTACTGGATGGTGACATTTTTCTTGCATTTCTCTCCTCAAAAATCTATCTTCTCTACAAAACATTTTTCACAGCTTCTGAATCCTTGTCAGTTACTGAAATGAAGCTGAAATATGCTTAACTACTAACTATTATTCATCCCTTGTTTCCTTTTGCCTCTATTCACCTTTCCTTCCTTTGTAGTTTGCCCTTCATGTTGAATTGTAAGTTGTCAGTTTATTGGGGCATGGGCTTATCTTCCAGTTGTTATTCTGAAAAGTCTTACATAAACCTCTGAATTCTAAGGGTCTGATCAAAAGTATAAACATACTACCTCAAATAAATTCAAGAATTCATTGGCTCTAATCCTGGAGAGCGAGGTGGGAAAGGCAATATTTTTATTTAATTCTTCAAAAAACCTCCGGTTCATGAATGTGAGATATTGTGCTTCTCTTTCCATGACTTAGAATGCCAGGAAATGACCCAATACTGTTGCACAATATTGTACCTGCACTGCCAACAGGAAAAAGGATGCCAAGCTTTGCATAGCAAAGGGCAGCCTGAACATTGACAATACCAATGGCAGCAGTCAAGATGGTCTACAGGATATCTTCTTGTGCTCACTACCATTCACAAAGTAATTGTCATGGCTATTTTTCAACATGTGTGAATTGTAGTGAGCACAAGGGGTGATCCTTCAACATGTGTGAATGGTAGTGAGCACAAGGGGGGATCCAGTAGACTAGAGATCCCCAACACTGAATCCCCAGATACAACATGTGTGAATGGTAGTGAGCACAAGGGGGGATCCAGTAGACTAGAGATCCCCAACACTGAATCCCCAGATATTCTTGGACTAAAAATCCCTGAAGCCTTCACCATTAGCTGTGCTGGCCAGGATTTCTGGGAGTTGTAGTCCAAGAACATCTGGGGACCCAAGGTTGGGAACCACTACTGTAGACTATCTTGACTGCTGCCATTGGTGTTGTGAACATTCCGGCTGCCCTTTGCTATGCAAAGCTTGGCATTCGTTTTTCCTGTTGGCAATATGGGCATGATATTGTGCAGAAATATCAGATCATTTCCTGGCATTTTGAATTGTGAATCTGGAAGTACGATATCCCACATTCATAAACTGGAGGGGTTTTTTTTTAAGAATTTAATTTCCTGGCTCTTAAAAATTGAAGTTTAAGTATACATACACAAATTCCAACAGAAACTTCTCTCATGTACATATATCAGACAAAAACAAAATAAAAATAAAAAATAAAGGAGACAGATATGGGGCACCTTAAAGACTAGCTGCTATATTTTAATGTGAGCTTCCATGGACAGGTTTTGTACCCTCATGTAGAATTACCCCGTACTAGAGATCCCAGAAGATGAGTCTTCAATCTGCACTGTTGTTGTTGAAAAAGGGAAAGAAGCAAGAACAGCTGTGATGTGGCTGTAGTTCCTCTGTGCCTGATACTTTGAAGTCCTGCTTTTGAAATGGTGAAGCGAAGGGTTGAGTAAGTGCAACACAGACGATGGAGAAACATACAAACCCTTTAACCTGCTCCTCAGAATGTAGACTAGAAAGCTATGTTCCAGTTTCCAAACCCTTTCCTTGGGGTAGGCAACCTAAGGAAGAAAATGTTTATCAGATCAAAAGTTCTACAAACATGTTGTGTGCATGTTTTTTTTTAAAAAAGTCCCCTGCACTTTGGAAGTTAAAAGAAGTAAGAGCTGGGAGTTGGCAAAGATTGTTGCTGGAAACCAAGGTCAAAGTCATCCATATTACATAAAAGAAAGACAGTGAAGAACGACAGGGACCTAATTCGATTCATGTGAAATGTGGTGTTGGAGGAGAACCTTACAGACACCACAGGCAGCCAAAAAGGCAAAAGAAGTGGATGCTCAATCAAATCAAGCCTGAACTCTCAAAAAATCAGTAAACTGAGCCTATTCAACCGTACACATATAATAAAAATACAGAACTGACCAGAAAATACAATATGGCTGACAAAAGTTGTGGCGGGCAGTAGGAATACCTAACTTGAGACAGATTGTCTCATTAAAGGAAGCTATAGCTATTAGTATGTAAAACCTGAACAGAAATTACTGGAAGAGACCATTTTGCTAGGTGGGTGGGCAGTAGAACAATAGAGTAACCTCATATGAGATGTTGTTGGTTTGCAAGAACTAAGCAGAGCTGTTAATTATATGACATTATGGAGGTTATTAACTTATATAACTTACATTACATTAGAAGTGACTTGATGGCACATAAACAGTTTGGAATTTTTTTCCTTAATTACCAAAGAATTGTATAATGACAATTCTTTGTGATAAGATATAGAATGCTCTGCTAACATTGAATGAGACAATCCCTAGCTACAAAAGCAAACAAACAAACAAACAAACACAAACACACACACACACACACACTGTGATTTAGCAGCTAAATGAATGAGCTTTTGAATATTGGTTCTCTATTATTTAAAAATATTTGTAAAAATATTTTTACAACCAGAAACAGAATCCCTTTGTAATGCCTTCTTGGCCAGGAAGGAACTAAAAGTTCTCCTGAGATTCAATTGATTGGATCCTGACTGACATGGTTGGAAGTTCAGATTGCCCCTGATATGGAACTGATTTTCCTCTTGAATGCTTGAATCAGGAGCCTACTTTCAGAAATCCTGAAAGAATCTTTACTGAAAGCATTCAGAGTAGAGACAAACAGAATACAGAAATATGTTGAATATGTATTCTTGAAGGCTTTCATGGCCCGGATCTGATGGCTGTTGTAAGTTTTTCAGGCTGTTTGGCCATGTACCAGAACACGGCCAAACAGCCCGAAAAGCCTACAACAACCATGTTTAATATGTCTTATAAAACTGTATGCTAATTTCCTGGAGCAAAATGTTCCTTTCTACAGGACTGTAACTCCATTAATTTCTTTAAAGCAGGCCCGGGGGTTATGCTTTTTAAAACAATTCTTTAAAGAAAACTTATCTTTTGATTTCTGTATCCATGACCTTTCATTGCCCTACTGGATTCCGCCAAAGAAAGATTCAACAATGTACCTACTTTGAATGCTCTTGCTGGTAATCCTGTGTAACAAAGTCTCTGTTTTTCCCTTTTTAAATGTCATTTTTGAGGATCAATATTTCAGCCCGTGCAGCCTGGATTATTTCCATTTTTTAAAAAAAAGAAGAAGAAGGTGGCACCAAGCATTCTCTTTTAAGATAAACAAGAGTCATCTTTTCAGTTTATTTGACGTGCTCTGGATCTGGGAACATTTAGGGTCATTTATTTCTGCACAGGTAAAACAGTTTTAAAGTTATACATTTTGTTTGGGCTGCCCTCATTTTTAGAATTGCCTTGAAGAATCTTGGTTTGCTGTGCTGCACAACATCACTGTACAAGATAATACCTGCATAATAACACAAAGTTAGCAGTCCTGTTTTCAGACTTTATTTAAGCTGCAGAGAATAGCATTCTTAACCTACCACGCTTCTAGGAAGATTAACATTGCCTTACATCGGGTTTTGGACCTATGTCAAGTTGTTCAGTTTTCTCTGTGAAATGGCAAAAATGGCAAGGAAAACAAATCACAAAGACAAATGTTTAGAGAACTTTCTGGAGAAGCTAAGCAGGTTTCCCTGTCATTTGAATGACAGGTGCACTCAAGGTCTTGGTGACATTGGCAATGGTACAGAGGTGTATGTGTGTCAGAAGGAATCTGTATGTATAAGAACAAAGTGTTCTAAATTCTTTCACTAACTTGTCAGGCACATAGGTTATTTCCTTTCAGCACATCTCACTAGGCATCTTATCCAACCCACTTCTTTTTATCATGATATTAAAGGGAAGCAATGACTGCTGTACAACCACCGAAGAGCAGAGAGGCCATAGAAACACTGCCTGGGAATTATTTATTTATTTAATTTATATACTGCTGAATCAGTGAACTCGTACTACTCTGGGCCATATACAGACAAGCAAAATCCACAATCCATATCCACTTCATTTGCATAAAAGCATAATAACCTAATCAAAATGTCAATATAACCAACTTGAGTGCGGTCATTGAAAGAAACCTGAGGTTCAAATGTTAAAATTAACAGCATTTGAGGGTAATTGAGACTGTCATTTCTTTCTTTTATCCTTTTCGCTTTTCTGATTGTAACTGAAGCTCAACTGTAAGTAAAGGTGTTTTCTTTTCTACTCAAGATACTTACAGAGTGCTTTATTAT